CCCTACACGTTTGATACTTTTAAGTTGGGTTGTATTTGTTTGCTTTTTGCTTGGGAGGCAGGGGTTTGAGATACACATCGCAATGGATCAAGCTCTTTAACCTCATGGGTATATCCTCATGATCTTAACCTTGCAACTGATAGAAGATTTGGAGGATAACTATACCTAAGTGTTAAAAAGCCTCATTTTGTCCACGTACACTTCTTAAAAAGAGTTGTAACTGGGTATTTTTAAAATTAGAAGCAAACAACTTTGTTTGATGTACACAAAACCTCTTGAAAGTGATCTAGTTTTAAAACCTGCGGCTTCCTAAACCTCTCAGGAGCTATAAAAGATCTGTGCTCAAGTGTCAAACACAGGTGCCTCCTACTGGTGAGTGCTCTGCTTAGGATATTGAAACCAGCCTGTTACCAGTCCTTCCAAGAAGATGGGGCTAGCATTGTCCATTGAAATTAGTGCAATGGACTGGTGCAGACTCTGGGAGCTCACCCAGTTGCAGTCCTTAGGAATCACAAGAAAAGTCCCAGCTTTAAAACTTGCCTGCTTTGTGGCTCTTCTTAAGGTCTGGGTGTAATTTTCACTCTTCAGTGACACTCAACTGGTCTTTATATGTCTTGCCTATTTGTTTTGAAAGACTGTTCCAGTCCTAAAAGGTTTCATTGTGGCTGCTGAAAACATTGAGAGGGGAAGTCCTTGATGCCTCATCTCTGCAAATAGAGAGCTCTAGAGCTGCTGTTCTCATTCACCTTCAGCAGAAGATTCACCACCTTCTGAGTGGTTATTCTGGATCCAAGACCCTTAGAAGCAGGGAGAGAACTTCCCATCAGCTGGGGCAAAGCATTTGGTAGTACTTCACTCATGGCAAAATGAGAATCTCTATCTCATTGTATGGAATAATAGTGAAATATTAGTACTGGACTCATAGCTTCTTTCCCACGCAAGGGAAGACCTTACTCCTACTGCAGTTACAGGAACAGGAATGTCATGGGTTTAGCCTGTTATGTTATAGCCAATTGCTAGAGGAATCCAGCTACTGCTGGCAAGGTGCTTTTCGTTCCCTTGTGCTGGGGCTGTCTCAGCTGTGCTATCAGGACTTGTGTACCCTAAACCATTCCTTCTACTCTAGGTCTCAGTGTTTACTGCTGAGCTGACTCCACGTCTCCCTTTTTCCCTTCCTGGTTGTTTTGCAGCTGAACCAGTGAGGCCAATTGACCCTGCAGCATGGATCTCTCATACCACAGCCATGACGGGAGCGTACCCCCGTTACGGTATGAGCCCCTCCATGAGCATCACCACATCTACCAGCTCCTCACTAACAAGCTCAATTCCCGAGTCGGAAAGTAAGTCACACTGCGGCCAGCACAGGGCAGGTGCCTTCTGCTCGGGGCCAGCAGTGCAGAGCTGTGCACAACCCAACCCCGGCCACAGCACCATGAAACCAGCAGCACCACACAACTCTTGAATGCTTTCTTAAATCTCTGATTCTTACAGGGAGCATAAAGCCTTTCTCTAAAGGTCAGAAGTGAAGGCAGTGGTGTTCTGCCAACGTTCACGTGCAGGATGAGGTGGCTTCTGGTCCCTTTTATAGCTACAAGGCAGGTCTCCAACTTTATCCCCATAGATGAACGGGAGAGCGTCCTCCTTGCATTTGACTGGTTTTTAATGGATTGAAATGATTTCCTGCAGGTAGATGTCACTGGGTAACAATGGTAGTGGTGTATCACGTAGGAAACCTTCCACTGGTGTTCACATAGCCTTTTTTTTTATACTTTTACAATTAATTGAACAAGGAAGAAACAAATGTAATGTCCCCCTCAATCGTACTTTAAAAATAAAGGTTATTTGGGAGCGGAACCACATTTTGGAGACAGCTTCTCATTTCTATGCCAGTGACTGACAATGTTTCCTTTCCTGAATGCAAGAAAACATAGAGGAGCCCTGAGCTTTATTGTGACCCTCTGCTTAACACAGTTGGGTCCTGTTACCCCCCAGACAGGGCAGGCAGCACCCCGGGGCCCCAGGTACAAAGTGTACCTGTCGTGTGAACCTCTTTGGCAGGAAAGACAGAGCTGGGGAGGAATGGAGGAGGAAAGGAGAGGCGAGGAGAGGCTGTGCACTGATATCTCAGAGAACCAAGAGATGGGGGTGTCTAACTTTCCATGTTCAGTGCAAAATTCCCTGTTTCAGATCCTCTGAGGCCACAGTCACTGGTATTTGAAGCAAATATCGTATCTGTTCTACAGTGTCTGGCTGTGAAAGGGAAAGCAGTGAATTAATGGAGTCAGAGAAGTCTATTCATGGCTCCTTGGTTTAAGTGTTGTGAATGTCTGCTGGTTTACTCTGTATAGCAAGGCCAGGATAATGGGAATGGACTAAATAACTGCTTCCCTTCTGACGGGCATTCCTTTGCTCTGTAGCCTCTGGATCCAAAGCGAAGTTATATCTGAAACCTTTGCACAGCCACCATCACTTTGGTGCTAGTGATTAAAGTAGCTGAGATCTTGGGGCCTTCAAAACCAGGACTGTGCAAACCAAGGCAGACTGAGGTGTTTCATAGTAATTACTGCTTTAAGAAGTATCTTGTTCCTCAGCAGTGTTCTGGCTGATGCAGGGGAATATTCTCTTGCAGTGGTTTGTGAGTGTGGGACTCTGCCTTGGCCAGTGCTGTTCTTTATATGCAGATCACAGGTGTCCAAGAAAATACAATCTATTGCTCCCCACATGCTTTACTTGAATATTGGTGTGTTGGGTTTTTTTTCCCCCCAAACATGTTGCTTTTTGCCACTAACCAAACTAACTTAAAGCAAAAGCAAACTGTGTTCATTCAAGCTTTGGAAGTATTGAAACTGCGTGCAGAGGTGCTCTGGGATATTTTCATGCATTTTAGCAGCACACATATTGAAAGAAGCATTTTCAGCTCTCATTGCTTCACGCTTGTTGTGCCTCTTATCAAAGTTTTGGGTTGCTGGAAAAGGACAAAATATGTTCCTTTGTGCTTTTGAAAGGTGGGTGATATGGGGAGCTGGGAGAAGGGAGGGGAGGAGGGCTTCTGAATTCCTGCTAGAGGGGTCTGAACTGCAAACACAGAGGACACATGCTCAACAGGAGTTTTCTAGGACTGAGAAGATGGGAGCAGGAAGGAGGTGCTCTATCCAAAGAATATAGTCAGGATGGTTGAGTACAGTGCAGAACACAAGGCTGGTGGGGTCTTAAACTGGGCTTTCAATATTAGATGCCACTTTGCCTCTATGTATGGTAGAGAAGGAGCTTCTAAAGGAACTAGGCTCCTCTGGTAGGCACCTCAGTTGAACAGGGTGAATCTGAGCCCTGTTGTTCTGCTTCTGTTATGAAAACTGATAAGCAAAGTATGAAGCCCGTGGTGAGGCAGCTCTGCCTTAAAAGTGTGTGAAATATGGATGGAGCACTGATGGCTGCTGTTGGGAGCAGCAGTGTTTTAAGTGTTCTGCAAGAAAGATGCAGGGCAAAGTAATGCTGCACTGAGTGAGTTGTTACCTTGTAAAGCTGCCACCATTGGGATCCTGGAAGGTTTATTTTGGAGGAAACCACTAGCCTTTACCCTGATGATGGAAGCTTTCTGTTCTAATTTCACTTCTCCCCAATTATGCTGATGTCCAACTCTTAAAGTACCCAAATGGAGATTGTTTGAGACGTGGTTGTCATCTTTCTCCATGCAGTTGGGCATTACTCCTGACAGTTAACCCAAAAGCTAAACAACAAGCCAGAAAACCTTGTCCTACAGAGTTTTGCATTCAGTGCGCTGAACTCTTGGGTGGGCAGAGGCTGTTCGTGGCAGTGATGGGTTGAAGTCAAACCATGTAGGGACTCAGCATCTCAGTGATGGAACTGGTTGCACTGAGCACAATCTCTGAAGAATTGGTGTGAAGTTTATAATTGGTGCCATTGATGAGGGTGCATTTGGGAACCTTTGGGTCTGGTTTTGCATCTGAAACGTCTGGAAACGTTTCCTCCAAACCAGGAGCTGAGAAGCTGTTTTCAGGCCTGTTGCATTTCAAGGAAGCATGTAACCTTTCTCTCTTTTAGAATTAGAAGAATCTCCCCTAACTGTGAAGAGTGACATGGCTACTATTGTCAAGGTGATGCAGCTACCAGACTCAGGCCTTGAAATTCGGGACAGAATGTGGTTGAAAATTACCATCTCCAATGCAGTGATAGGTAAGCAGCTCAAAGGGATGCTGAGGGGAAGAGACCACTGGGGGTTATGGAAATAGGCTGAAGAAACTATCTGTAGATGAACTTTATTTTCCCTGTCTATGACCTCTTGTATTCCCTCGACTTGGTATTTGTGAACAGCTCCTAAGTGTGGCAGAAAAGAACTAATAGCTCATGTTTGAACCTGGATAGCCAAAGCTGCTGCACGTTTCTCATGCCCACACACTGCTGGTCCTTCACCTTTACTTGTTTTATTACAGGTTTTCCATTTGTGGCTCTAGCAATCGTCCCAAGTTCAGCAGCAGGGCAGCAAGCCTTGTAATTCCAGTTCCAGCCAGGCACACAGCCTTAATAAAGCATCTTAATTAAAATTGCCCTTTGATTCTGACTGCCCTCTGACCTGAACTGTGCTCACATTTAGTCAGTCTGGGTTGCAGTTACTTTTTGCTGAGAAAGGCAAGGTCTTTGGAGGAAGGTGACTCTCCAGTCACTTTTGTTCTGTAAATCCTGTGTCATTTTCATTACTGCAGCTCGGAAAGGGCTGAACAGTGAAACTATAACATTTGCTGTGTGCTTATTTGGTGTCGCTGTTAATGTGGTATTCAACTGGATGCAAGATGATTCTTTGCTTTCTTTATTGATGTTTGGTGGTGACTAATACAGCAGTTGGGCTGAGTCTTTAATATAATATTTTAAGTTCTTTGCAACAAGGTTGCTGCCTGTTCATATTTATGTTCAGTACTAGTGGGCTGTGTGATAACGTGAGCATTAGAAACCCAAAAAAGCTCGATTTGCCTCCGCTGATCCTGTATCTTCTCTTCCTGTTCTCATTTTAGGAGCAGATGTGGTTGACTGGCTTTACACACACGTGGAAGGCTTCAAAGACCGACGGGAGGCACGAAAATATGCCAGCAGCATGTTAAAACATGGCTACCTCAGGCACACTGTGAACAAAATCACCTTCTCAGAACAGTGCTATTACGTCTTTGGAGACCTCTGTGGCAGTAAGTTCCCCATCCGTGAAGGGCAATGAGGTGTGTGTGGTCTGTTCTGTGCTCACAGGATGCACACAAGAGAGAGAATCCTATAGGAGTTCACAAGTGGGTGTTCTGAAGTTGCATGGCAAGTGGTTGGTGGTTCCTGTTAGACCACTAGGAAAAGAAGGATGAACTCAGCAAACAGGGCATTGCACTGGGACTCAGGAAAGCAGGATTTATTTCCGGTGATGCCACAGGCTTCCTGCTTGTCAGTCACACTCAGATTCCAAGCCGTAAAATGGGGATGATTCCTCCTCGACTCATGGAAATGCTGCAAAGATACCTTGGTATCAGTGGTAGATACGGATGTCTGGCAGTATTTTGAGTGATCCCTGGAGGCTGAGTCCCTCTGGCCCCTCACCACACTCTGTCAACCACTGTTAGCGTGCAGGAGCCAGCTGCTGGGTAAGGACAGAGCCTTCACCTTGTCTCTCTTTTCCAGATATGGCTGCACTGAACCTTAACAATGGTTCCAGCGGAGCCTCAGATCAGGATACCCTTGCTCCACTTCCACATCCTGCTGCTCCCTGGCCATTAGGCCAAGGATACCCCTATCAGTATCCTCTGCCCCCTCCGTGTTTTCCACCAGCGTACCAAGACCCAGGCTTTAGCTATGGTAGCGGCAGTGCAGGGAGCCAGCAAAGTGAAGGTAAGCTGGTTCATCTGGGGTTTATTCCTACAGCTGCCATTATCCCTAACCATTTGCTTGAGTTCCTTCGTGCTGTCTGTGCTCCTGTCTTGTGGATTTGTGTGCTACCTGCATGGATTCTGTGTATGTGGTGGAGTGGGTTAGCCTTTCAGCTCTGTATTGAAACCGCCAATGATGCTTCAACTGAGTCAGTAGAACAAATAGGATAGAAAAGATGCTGGTGATAGTTGTGCTATAATTCTGTACCCCATGCAAAATGCCTGTGGGAGCTAGAGGCAAGCTGTCACCTCCCTGGTGGCATGGGCATCTCTGCTTTTCCTGCCCAGCAGCACCACATGGTAAACTACTGCTCAGGTAGTGCTGATCAGGCCAACCTTAAGGACTCAGTTGTCTACCCTGTTAAAACAGATACACTATTGCCCCCCTTTTACAGGTCAGAGCCATCAGTGGGGCACTTGATGTTGCTAGAAATGAGGCCTTTTTGTTGCTGATGAAACAGGGATTAGAACCAAGGGGCTCTTGGCTTTCACTTCAGTGCTCAGTACAAAAGGAAAATCACTCCCTTTTCTTGTGTGAGATGAGTGCGAGGTGGCCAGCAGATGGTTTACAGGGCTGAAACACTGCTCACAGGGAGGAGAGTCTCTTCTGTAATACATGACAGGGCAAAAAAGGTAATACTGCATGGATGAAAAACCTGACCTCCTCCTTTCCTGCCCCGGGATGACTTCTGGTTCATTTTTAAACATCACTAAATAGAAATGATGTATTTTTTGGCTGAACAGATGTTTTGGGTTTTTTAAATCATCTCCAGAGTGAGTTTTGCATTTGGAAATGCTGCCATTAAAGCAAGGGTGAGGATTCTCTGTTTTTTTTGTGGTGAACATCCAGTAACTTGGATGTAACTAACAACCAGTTAGTCTCTGCAGAACTCCACAGAAGTCTTTCATAACACGAACTTGCTTACAAGATTTTAGCCCTATTGAGCCCACCTTATCTCAAACTAAGAAGTATTTATGAGGAAACTCACTGGGGCATCCAAAGGTTTTAGAACTGCAAGCTGATTCTACTGGGAAGAATGTGATTATGTGTTTCTGTGGGCAGCAGAATGAGATCTCTGCTGCTGGAAGAGGAAAGGTTTGGTATTTTATCCATGCGACCTGTGTTACTGGCTAAAGAGAGCCCTGTGAAAGGCACCAAGGTGTTCAATTTTGAAGGGTTTCAACACTTTCCTTGTTCTTTTGGAAACTACACTTCTGTGTTGTTTCGTGTTTGTAACTGTTATTCCCTTGTTTTGTTCTGAGCAAGCATTAGACTGAAGGATTCATAGAGGAATGGCTGACTCTAGGGGATTGGTAAGCTTCAAATGCCTCCATAACAATGACTTCACAGCATGATCATTTAGACTCTTGTGACCCAAATGTTTAGCTCTTTTTTTTTTTTTTTTCTTATTTATTCTTTATTTTTTCCTTTTTATTTGTCTTGGACCCTCAACCTGTCTCAATACACAGTAGTCCAATAGTGTGGCATTAGCCTATCAACCTGTCTGGCCCCTGTGTGACTGTGCTGCAGCAGCTGCAGAGGGAATGGCATCAGGTACCTCATCTGTCAGTCAGATGGGAAAATCCCATCACCACTCTCCTCACTGCCCTTCATACAATGAACAAGTGATTAATCCCAGCTCCTGATTTATTAGTGATGTCATCCATATGGATTGCATTCATCTACCAGTGCCCTTCCACTGCTCGTATACTGAAAGACACTTGAGCACTGCTCAGATGTCTCAGGTAGTAAGAGTACTGGGACATGAGGTTGCTCTGGGCACTCTCAATATAGAGTGTTAAAATTGGGTTTCTTCCAGAGTCTCTCTTCTATGTGCAAAGTTACATCATAACTGGATGCATCTGGAGAACAAGAGCCCTGCTCCAGAGCTCAGCAGATGTCATGTGCTTGGAGATGAATGCAGTGTTTGGCAACAGAATGCATCAGGAGGTAAAGGCAGAGGCATATTTGCTGTGGAAGGGTTAAAATGTCCATTTTCTTCCACTGTGAACATGTGCCACACTGGAGAGCTTACAGAGATTATCTTCTTGGAGATAATCTCTGTGGTGTTCTGTGGAGCCAGGCTGTAAGAGTCGACCTGCTAACAAGTAGTTTCTCCTCTCTTCATTGTTTGTACAAGATTGTTATGAGACATTTGAAATGACAGCTCAGGGAGCACCTAATCTCTTCAGAAAGCTCACCTTAATGCATCTTTATAGTGGAGGCAGCTGAATCCATATTAATATGTCCAGTGAAACCAACAAAAGTCATACTTTGCTAAGACAGATTGGACCAGATGATCCTTGAGGTCCCTTCCAACGTGGATTTTGTGATTCTGTGATTTGACAGGACATCAGTTAACTTCAGGTGGTTTGTCCCTGGTGTGACCAAGGATGATAGAGAAGGCAAATGAGTTTCCTTCTGAAAAGTTTTTGCCAATAGAAGGTACCAGAGACAGTTACAATTACACTGACCCTCCTTTAACCTTGAGTCAAAACCCAAATGCCTGCTTCTCCCTGCTGTTTCTGCTCCTCCCCTCTCTGCAGTCGCTGGGGTGGCAGCAGAGCAGATGGCTTTCAGTTCTGGTTCTAGGCTAGCTGCTGCTTTCACTGTGCAAGCTCTGAGGTGTCTACGTGTACCTGTGCATGGCACAACCTTGTCAGCTTTGTCCTACCAACTGTCATTGCTGAATCCCATACGCCACCAACAGCACCTTCAGAC